TAATATCAGCTAGTAAAAAGAACTTAGTTTGGCCCTAAGCAAGAGAAGCAGAGAAGGTTTCTCTCTTGTACATTCTTTCTCCCCTCTTTGTACCACCACCACCTCACCCAAAGCTGGATCCTGATCTTTTACCTCATTTCTAAATAGATTTGTTCACTCTGTAACTAGGAGCTCTTCCTGACATATTTTAATGCATTCCTCTTAGTGACTCAGAGCAGTATAAGAAATAAACCTTTTATGGATGTATTTTAGTAACTTATGAAAGAAAAAAATAAGTAAAGTGCTTTCAGTCAAATTTCCTACCCCACGCACACCCCCCCACACACACACACGGACCAGTAAGTCTACCCTGAGAACCTAGAGATGGCAATTCAGTGTTGCACCCATGCCATTAAAGCCATGTATTTCTTACCATTTTCTATTCACCCCATAATGGTGAGTTAGAAAGGGTATTTTGTCTGTGTCCCAGTTTTGTATCATGATTACTATTTTCTATTTCTGAAGAGTTGAAGTAATACTAAACAGTGTTCTTGAGAATTCTAAATGGAAACATCAGCTTGTTTGAACCACAATAATTTTTTTTTTTTTTTTTTTGAGACGGAGACTCACCATGTCACCTGGGTAGAGTGCCGTGGTGTTAAAGCTCATAGCAACCTCATACTTGTGGGCTTCAGAGATCCTCTTGCCTCAGCATCCCAAGTAACTGGGACTACCAGTGCCTACCACAGTGCTGGCTAATTTTTCTACATTTTAGTAGAGACGGGTCTCGCTCTTGTTCAGGCCTGTCTGGAACTCCTGAGCTCAAGCGGTCTACCCACCTTGGCCTTCCAGAGTGCTAGGATTACAGGCATGAGCCAGTACACCTGACCTTGAAGCAATAATGTCTTAACAGTAAAGAAAAAGTTAGATATCAAGAGTAGATATAACATAGTGAACTTGAGGTGAGAAAAAAGAGGAAAAATGTAATTTTTAAAGCATACTTACACTATAGAAGTAAATTAAGTTTGTATCACACATTCTCAATTAGAAATGAGAAGAGGAATGAGATTTTTGGTATCGGCTCCGCGCCTATAGCTCAACCAGCTAAGGCGCCAGCCACGTACACCTAAGGTGGCGGGTTCGAATCCCCAGCCCGGACCTGCCAAACAACAATGATGGCTGCAACCAAAAAAAAGCCGGGTGTTGTGGCAGGCGTCTGTGGTCCCAGCTACTTGGGAGGCGGAGGCAAGAGACTCGCTTGAGCCCAGGAGTTGGAGGTTGCTGTGAGCTGTAATGCCACGGCACACTACCCAGGGGGACAGCTTGAGGCTCTGTCTCAAAAAAAAAAAAAAAAAGAGATTTTTGGTATCAGAAGTCATCCAAAATTTTAAAAGGTTGAGAAACAACATTAATCTGAATAATTTTTATTAAGAGTAGGTTGGGATTTTACGAATTTCCTATATGGTGAAAAGGATGATGAACAAATTAACATTTTCAACAAGACAGGGCAGCATCCATTTTAATATTTACACATCTGATCATTCGTTCATAAAAGCAAATACACCATCTCTAGTTGTCAATATTTTGCTAGTCCTAGACTGGCGATCCAAAAGTGTTTTGTTTAGGTTCTTTTTTATTTTTTTTTTTAAGAGATAAGATCTCCCTCTGTCACCCCAGGGTAAGGTGGTGTCGTGACATCATCATAGCTCACTACACCCTCACGTTCCCAGGCTCAAGCAGTCCTCCTGCCTTAGCCTTCTGACTAGCTGGGAATGCAGGCTCAGGCCACCACATCTGGCTCATTTTTCTATTTTTTGTAGAGACAAGGTCTTGTTCTTGCTCAGGCTGGTCTTGAACTCCTAACCACAAACAATTCCTCCCATCTCAGCCTCCCAAAGTGCTAGCTAGGGTTGCAGGTCTAAGTCACCGCACCCAGCTCCATAAGTGTTTTTGTTTGTTTTTAATTAAAAATAGCAGTCTTTTCTTTGTACTAGTTTAGATATATACTTTATTCTGAATTAATAACATTTTATCAACTGACTTGAAAGATTTGGGGAAAAGAAAAGATTTTCATTCTCATTCTTTCTCAATTTTGAAATAGCCACTAAAAGTATATTTCCCATATTTGGTTTATTCTGCATTTAAAGTTAACCACTGTGACTTCCACTTTTTTACCAAAATGTAAAGCTCAGCTTTATGACACACTTAAAATTAACACTGGATTGGCTTGGCGCCTCTGGCTCAAATGGCTAAGGTTCGGATCCAGCCAACAATGACGGCTACAACCAAAAAATAGCCAGGTGTTATGGCAGGCCCCTGTGGTCCCAACTACTTGGGAGGCTGAGGCCGGAGACTTGCTTGAGTCTAGGAGTTGGAAGTTGCTGTGAGCTGTGATGTCACAGCACTTTACCCAGGGGGACAGCTTGAGGCTCTGTCTCAAAAAAAAAAAAAAAATTAACACTGGATTTAAGGACTACTAATAATCAGATTCCAAGTCCGTTTCTTTTGAATTGACACTCTTTTATACACATAGGACTTAAATTTATTTGGGTTTATTTAAGATTTTTTCTGTCTTTGTATCTAATAAACTATTTCTCATCTCTTTCCCCAAGGTTTTCAAATAGCTGGAAATTCATGAATACTGCACATTTTCATTTGATTTTTAAGACTGTAAATTTAGTTTATGATTTTTTTAATTTAAAAATAGAACTCTTGCAGTGAATTTAACGTGCAAAGAAAGACATAAGATTTTGTTGGTAATTCAGTAAGATAACTAATGTGTACTTCAAAAATACAGGTAATATTAAAATTTTAGATTGAGCACTATAGTAACCCCAAGCTTTTTAATCTTCTAAAAATAAAATTGCTATCTACCTGAGACCTGTTTCCCTCTCATCCTACTTCAATATAAATTTTAATAACAGTGTTGGGGATTGGAAGCGAAAGTATATCTAAAAGCTCCGTCCTTTTCTGAGGCTGAACTCCTTTTTCATAGAGAATAGACTATGCTATGCACAATTGTTATATGTCTAATTTACCATCAAAAACTTTTTTTAAATTTCTCATTTGTGAGGCTACTAAACAGAAAATTTGGCGAGAGTTAAGTAATGTGGGTTGAGGGTATAGTCTCCAGCCTAAACTCCTTTAGGTCACATTAATTGATTAGATTGGTCAATTGCATGTAAAGGTTGATTCATACTAGTTACCATTTCTTTATATGTATCTTTTCTTTTTTGTTGTTCTCAACTATACTGTTGGACTTTATAACAGGGGCCTTTTTCTTAATTTATTTTTCCCTGCATTCACTGTAGCTCTTAAGGTAGCACTCTACAAAATAGTAAACATTAAACACTTGCTGATTGAGTGAAATAATTGGGAGAGAAGAAAACAAAGAGTAAAGAAAAATAGAGCAAAATAGAGTACATGTATTCTGATGTGATGTAATATCTCTTGATTCTAATAATGGGTAGACTTCCATGGAAATAACTTTGTGTCTTCTAAATCAGTTTATCAGAAATCTATTTAAATGTCAATGAATGAAATCTTATTTACATTTCTTTGAAAAAAATGATTTCTGGCTGGGCGGGGTGGCTCACACGCCTGTGTTCCTAACACAGGTGGAAGCCAGTGGATACTTGAGCTCAGGAGTTAGAGACTAGCCTGAGCAAGAGCCAGACCTGTCTCTACTAAAATTAGAAAAACTAGCCAGGTGTTGTAGTGGGTGCCTATAGTCTCAGTTCCTTGGGAGACTAAAGCAAGAGGATTACTTGCGTCCAGGAGTTTGAGGTTGCTGTTAACGCCACAGCACTCTAACCAGGGTGACAGAGTGAGACCATCTCAAAACAAAAGAAAAAATGATTTCTGTAACTTTTCTTAGCTGACCTTTTCCTTTTTTTCTTTTTTTTCTTTTTTTTTCCCATCTTGGCCAAGTGCCCCCTGGGAGAGTACCCTGGAGTCATAGCTTAACAGCAGGCTCAAACTGTCAGTCTCAAGCCATCCTCTTGCTTCACTATCCCGAGTAGCTGGGACTACATTCAGGCACCTGCCATGATGTCTATTAGCTGATCTTTTAAACAGAAGTTTCACATTTCTTTATTTGAAAGGCACTAACTTTTTTTTTTTTTGAGACAGAGTCTCCTATGTCACCCTCAATACAGCACAGTGGTGTCATAGGTCACAGCAACCTCAAACTCTTGGGCTTAAGTGATTCTCTTGCCTCATCCTCCCAAGTAGCTGGGACTATAGACACCTGCCACAAAGCCGACTATTTTGTTGTTGTTGTTGTTGTCATTGTTTAGCAGGCCTGGGCCGGTGCATGTGGCCGGTGCCCTAATAACCAAACTACAGGCACCAAGCTGAAATGTACTAACTTTTAACACACTTGCTCACAACATAATTCATTATATCTGAGGATACTTGTGTCTTTGATTTTCCGAACACCTCTCTGATTTCTAGCACATATTTTTATAGGTAAGATTTATTTTAGGCATTCAGTCTGTTGGCTTTAAACTGTGGTTTATGGTTATATTAAATGAACATCTTTGTTTTCCATTCTGATTTACAATCAGAGAAAAAGTATTTTTACTTCAATATTACATGAAAACTAGCAGTAAGAAGCAGATGGTCCTGCTTTCTTGGTATGGCTACAACTTAGTCATTATTATTAGCATTATTATTAGCATTATTATTTTTCATTACATGGTCACCATAATATATAATTTTAAGAGTGATCTCAAAGATACTAAGTCTGAATAAATGATAAAATTGTCATGTTAGAACTGTGTTATACAATAAAAACTACATATAAGAACTTCTCTAGCATGGGACGCTAAGTGGATCATGGGTGTAAGCATATGACATACTTGCCAAAAGATTTTCATTTTTCTTAGGTACTTTTCTGACAAAGTATGTTGTGATTTGTAATTGCTTTTCATCTTAATTGTGGAATAAGTTTGTATTCTATTTGTGTTATTGAAAATACTTTAAAACATACTTATTTCTGAAATTAATGTCCTTTACAGTAACAGGGGGTATCACAGAAGAGCAGTTTCAGACACATCAACAGCAGTTAGTTCAAATGCAAAGGCAGCAACTTGCTCAGCTTCAGCAGAAACAGCAATCTCAGCATTCCTCGCAACAGACACATCCAAAAGCACAGGTACGCCTGTCTTCTCATCATGGTTATGCCTCTTTCTTTCATAATTACGTAGTTTTGTTCCGTTTTAGTCAAGTTGCAAAAGATAATCTCGATTTTGCCACTCTTGTTTTTGGAGGTCTAACCTGAATTTCATTTCACCTAATGTACATGTGTTTAAATGACAGATTACAAACTAGTCTCTTAATATTTTGTGAATAGTACTAGAGCCAAATGTGGAATTTTTAATCCAAGGAAGAACTAATTATTATTTCTTTGAAGGGTTACTAAGAATTTATAGAAGTAAAAGATCTAATCTTGCTAGTGCCTTCTTAAACTATATGGCTGTGTCCCATGAGCTAAGAAGTAATTTGCTTGAGTTGTGCAGTAAATCTGGACACTACAGCCTCTTGCCTCTGTGTTCACATTTCCCTCTAGAAAAAAAAATTGCCTCTAGGAGAAGTTGTTTGTAGACACCATTAAATAAAGACACTAGGAGTAAGAATTAAAATGCTTCATAAAACTTTAATTGTCAGAAGGAACTAACCCTGCTGTTACCACTTTGATTTTCACCCCATAAGACTCCTTGTGGACTTCTGGCCTCCAAAACTATGAAAGAATAAATTTCTGTTATTTTAAGCCACTGAAAACAATACAAAACTAAGAAATATATTTCAAATTCGAATCACCTGAAAAGATTTGTTTCTCCATAATTCTAAAACTTTTTTAAGTAATATCTGAGAATAACTCAATCTTAGTTCTATTCCATGAGCTCTCAAGGCAGGGTCTGCCCATAGTGCTTCCACTCAGTTTCAAAGCGTCAGGACACTGACCTTAAAGGTCCTGATTCCCAAAACCTAAAAATCTTAGTTATCTTAGACCCATCAAAATTCCTTATATCTAGGTGGATCTGGATTTAGTAATCAGTTTTATACAGAATCAAGGAAGAATGGCCATTTAACTTACCTTTGTGGTTTCAGAGTCTCTTGGTAACCAGCCTAAAGTATTTTCAGCCTACTTCAGGGGTTAGCCAAGATAAGTTTTTATATTGTGACAAAAGTGACTTCTGGTCATCTCTGTGATATTATTTCACCCATAATACCTAGTTTGTCGAGTATTTTTAAAAGCATTCATGAACATACATTGGAAAAATGGAAAGAGCATTAAAATTTGAGGTGTTTAATCCCCTAGTTCTTTTTCAGAAACAGCTACTTCCCAGTTTTTTCTTACTTCACTGCTTTTTGTGCCAAAAGTAGTCTATGGAGTTGTAGATCTCTTCATCTAAACACTTTTTAACTGTTCAAGGTTAAGAAGGCAACGTTTTGAGTTTGCCTCATTCCTTAATATGTTCATAAAATCACATCTAAAAAATCACATCATAAAAAATGTTTGTTCATTTTATAGGGCTCAAGCACCTCTGACTGTATGTCTAAAACCCTTGACTCAGCCAGCGCCCACTTTGCTGCATCTGCAGTGGTCAGTGCACCTGTTCCAAGTCGTAGTGAGGTAGCCAAGGAACAGAATACTGGCCACAACAACATAAACGGTGTTGTCCAGCCTTCAGGTATGGCTGGGGTTTCACGTGGTACTTAACTAGCTTCAACTTGTAACTCAGTGGTGTGGGGTATGGTTTTTACATTTTATATCCAGGGAGAAAATATGTGTCAGAAATCAACAATACTCTTCAGAATCTCTTTGGAAAGACAGGGAGATAGCAGAGTGTTTTCTAGGATTCTCATAGAGTCTGTTTTGTTTCCTTCTGCACCCGTGGATACCTATCTGTGCAGCATTCCACCCTTTCTGGCTTCATTCACACGCTGTCAGTTGCCTCCCATCTTAGGAAATCCATCAAGTTAATTACTGACCATCGTCATTAAATCATTTATTCATAGATTAGAAGATGAAATATAACCCAGAACATACGTAATAAGTTTGAAATTGGGTTTACCTTCCCACCCTCACATACTCCTAACCATACTTTCTCTGATTCCTCCTGAGAGAGCGTATAACTGTGAAATCCTCCCTGCTTCTTAGTACCCAGAGTCCTCAAAGACTTGCTATTCTTATCATCCTTCAACTATCTCTCAGATCCCAGAATTTTCCAGTTGCTTTTAGGTGTACTCATGATCCTGATTGTCCATCTTACTAATGTTCATGCATCTACAAATTCTTACAGAGATCCATCTGTCACTATGTATGTATGTTTATGTCCAGAGTTGCCAGATACAGAGAAGGCAGATTACTTGAAAAGCCCTTTTTTGCAGAGCAGTAGAGAGAGGTGTGTCTTTAGGGTTGTAACAGGTAAGTATGTTACACTTACTGGTCGTAAACTCTCTTTGGAGAGACCATTATTTAGTTTGAATTTAGATAGTGATATATAATTCAAAAACAAATGTTTGTATTTATTTTTTAATTAAACTCCTAAAAAAATAATTTTATTCATGTGTCATGGCACTAATTGAATGGTTTTTTTTTCTCTTTCAGGAACCTCTAAAACATTATACTCCACCAATATGGCTTTATCATCTAGCCCAGGGATTTCAGCTGTACAACTTGTAAGGACAGTTGGCCACACCACTACAAACCACTTAATCCCAGCATTGTGCACAAGCAGTCCTCAGACACTTCCCATGAACAATTCCTGCCTGACAAACGCAGTGCACCTCAATAATGTCAGTGTTGTTTCTCCAGTCAATGTGCATATCAATACACGGACTTCAGCACCATCGCCAACAGCCTTAAAACTTGCCACAGTTGCTGCCAGCATGGACAGAGTGCCAAAGGTTACTCCCAGCAGTGCCATCAGCAGCATAACAAGGTGTGTGTGTGTGTGTTTTAAGTGTCATTCTCTCCCTTTGTGCTGGCTATTCTGTGGGAGGAAAAAGACTTTTTACTGCTTTAGCCATTCGTATCTGTTGGCAGTCTTGCTTTTCAACAGATATTGATAATCCATGTAATACAAAGGTCTATGATTTAGATGATTTATTTTAGGTCCCTAGTAGTATGCTTAAATGCTGACTAGAATTGTAAAAAAAAATTTTTAAAAAAAAAAACACATCAAATTGGCAAATACATCAGAATCTATTTTATTTTATTTTACTGTTTTTTTTTTTTAGAGACAGAGTTTCACTTTATTACCCTCGGTAGAGTGCTTGGTATGACAGCTCACAGCAACCTCCAACTCATGGGCTTAGGCGATTCTCTCGACCTCCCAAGTAGCTGGGACTACAGGTTCCCACCAAAACGCCCATCTATTTTTTGTTGCAGTTTGGCCAGGGTCAGATTCGAACTCACCACCCTCAGTATATGGGGCTGGCACCCTACCCACTGAGGCACAGGCGCCGCCCCAGAATCTATTTTAGGAGCTTTCTTTACTCTTATGTAGACGGTAGAACCACCTTCCTACATTGAACCTATTTTCAAAAACCGGACGTGTACCACATGTACTAAATGGAAGTTCCTTGTGTCAACTACCTCTATATGTTGACTGGTTTGTTGCAGTCCCTTGGGTGGTCCCTTTGTAGAAGTTCTGGTGTGTAGTGTGTGTGTGTTGGTAGTTTAGACAGCCTGGAAGATTAGCATTGTTATTACTAATTCTATACCAGAGTTTAGGTCTCAAATCAAAATTTGTGTTTTCTTCAGCATTATACACAAAAGGAAAGTAAATTATTCCATGTATATATTAAAATACTCTAGGATTAACTAAACCTATAATTATTTCAGAGTGTAGTTTGTTCCTTTGTTTTTGAGACAGAGTCTCGCTCTTTCACCCTCTGTAGAGTAATGTGGCCTCATAGCTGACAGCAACCTCAAATTCTTGAGCTCAAGTGATTCTCTTACCTCAGCCTCCCAAGTAGCTGGGACTATAGGTGCCCACCACATGCCTGGCTATTTTTTAGAGACAGAGTCTGGCTCTTGCTCAGGCTGGTCTTGGAGTCATGAGCTCAGGCAATCCACCTGCCTTGGCCTCCCAGAGTGCTAGGATTATAGGCATGAGCCACCATGCTTGGCCCCTCAGAGTGTGGTATATTCATTTCAATCTATGATACTAATAAAAGGAGAACAGTGAGTCAGGAAAAAACATTATGTGGGTTAATAAGTAGTTGACCTTAAGCCTGTAAAATTAAATTCTAGTGGAAAGTAATATTGTGCTCCTAATGATCATTCTTTTAAGCATATTCTTTATCAACTATAAGGAAAAAAACTTAGATTGTCCAGTGTTAAATATTTTATAAGTAATTTATAATTGGCTTCTACTGAAATACCATTGAATTACTGTCTTAGTCCTAAGTAAATAGCAGTAATCAAGTAATTAGTTATTGATGGAATTTTTGAACTGAAGAAAACCTTTTTCTTTTTTGTCTAAAAATGGGAAATATTCTTGTGAAATCATGTTTAGTTGTAGTTATATAAAAATGTATTTGTAAATACTAAGTGATAACATCATATTCTACGGAGTATTAATTTTTACTTTTACTCTTTGCCTTGCTATAGAGAGAACCATGAACCAGAAAGATTGGGCTTAAATGGAATAGCAGAGACAACAGTAGCTATGGAAGTGACATAACCTGAAACATATGGCTCTGCCCTGTGCTGACGGGCAGTCGTTCATATTCCAGCTGAATGCAAAAGGCAACACTCTGTGGATCACAGAGCGGTTAACAATGGACCTAAATGGACTATAGTATATCGGGTGTTAAATCGATATATGATGTATATTTTGTAAAATTGGGAAAATCACTACCTTGTAAAATAGTTTATTTGTATCATCAATATTATTTCTGTTACTTGAATAGTAGATATTCATCATCATGCTTTTGCACTTGAATTTGCAACTGAATGGATTTTAAAAAATAATTCTTTAATGGGATCATGAGCATGAAATGGGATCCTGCATCACTTGTTTTAACTATTTATTTTGCCATGTTTACATTTTGTATCTTGTAAAAATAAATCCAACTTTGTGTCTAAAAAGTTAAAGATTCATAGCTAGGAAATGAAATTCTTGTAATTTTTTTCTAAAGGAACTGTAAAGTTTTCACTTGGTTCATTTTGTTTCACAATTTGACTAGATGGACTTTTTGGTAAATACTTTAGTGGCATTTCACTGTCCAATATGAAGTTCAAGGCAAAATAGTATTTTCTATTACTGTGCAGGGGAAAGGGATGGATCGATACATGCAAATTTAATGTAGTAACTTCACTTTTCCATGTATTTTGAATGTATATTTCTATTTATAATACCAGTTTATAAAAAATAATTACACAGAAAAAATGGACTAGGAAAAATTATGCATCTAGCACATTTAAACTGTGCAGATACGAAAATTTTTCAAGGATTACATTTTATCTGAAGACTGCATATTTTAACTGGCTTTAAAACTGTAACTCACCACATAAAAGATATTTTACCAGGTATGTATTGCATTATATCATTGCAATAATTATTGGAAGTCTAGATATCGAGCCATCCCAGGTGTTGGGGGCGGGTGGGGGAGGGTCGTGGCAAGATTGTCTTTTCAATTTTGGAGAGTTTTCCTGTGGCTACAAGGCAAGTAACGGGTTGGAAAAAGTCTGACTGTAAGTGTTGGACACCTTCATAGTGTAGTGTTTTAGTGACTTTTTTTATACGGTTCTTGTAAATTAGATACGTGTAGTGGTGTTTCAGAATGTTTGTTTATGCACTAGTTCAGACAACTTTCCCTGTTACTTGTTCTTGATAAGTGAAAACTGCAGGGAAATAAAAAATACATATCAAAACATGGACATGCTGCATATGTGTTTATTTCACAATGTGCACACAGTGTAAGTTAAAATTTAAGGGAGATGATAGCACTTAACAGCACTTTTCATTTTCACAGTGCTTTCCAAGCATTAATGGAAAGGATTAAAAGCAGCTCATCTGTGGGCACTATTGGGTTTCAGATAATCCAATATAAACTACCTTTGATATGAAAAGTTCTTAAAATATTTTACAGAATGTAAGTAATTTGCAGTATATTAGTCATTGAAATCTCATAAATGAGCCTCATTTTATAAATAAAAGTTTAGAGTAGAATTATATTGCAAGGGGGTTTTGTCAAGTAAGTACTGGGAAATGTAAATATTTTTAATGAATATAATTAAAACCATTTCAAACTTACATAATTTTATACTTTACATTTTTTTATATCTGCAGTCCTGAAGGTTGTAAATTGATATGTCAGTTGAATTAATGGGCCAAGATTTCTGCTGAGAGTGGTTTTTATTCAGGTCCTAAAAATGTAAAGCAACTTACGGTCAAAACCATAGAAAAAAATAAATTTAATTTCTTCATTGGTTGTGACCTGATAGGATCCATGCTCATTTCTGCCATACTACCTCTGGAGTTGCTCTTTGCTGATTATATAAAGGAAATAATTTTGATTTGATATGTATTATGACTGTGTTCATTCTGCTTATAGTCGGATGTATCTCCTTGCTATTAAGAACTTAATTTTAGTGCCAATTTCAGAGAAAGCTTTTTCCCCATTTTACTGAAGTAAAGCATGAAGTGAATTTTTGCCTTATGTGATATATGTTATAAATAAGTAAAATTTGAAAGAATTATCCATTTGTACAATTTCTGGAGGTGGTGGCAAATGCAGAACTTATCAAAAACTGGTGACCATTTTCTTTGTTCCTTTTCAAGTAAAATAGAAAAATAAGCCTTATTTTGGTGATTGTCACTGCCTCGTGGATGACATTTCAGTTACTTGCATACACATTTTTCTAGTGATTTTCAAAAGCTTAAATTGACATTTGTTTTCGCCTTATTAAATTGAAGAATAATTTATTTTTGCACTGGATAGTACCACCCTCTCTTGGTTTTCTGAGGAAATTCGTATTGGTACTTGGAGGCCATTAAGCTTTTGGACGCCTTGGAGAGTATGCCTTGAGGGGGGTGGAGGTGGAAGGTGTCACTGTGCTTTTTAAAAAATTAACAAAGGGATAAATTTCGTGTGTTAGAATAATCCTTTACTTCAGTTTTGATAAAAATACTTAAGTATTGTATTTTTCTACCTTCCTAAACAGAGTTCCCCCCTTCTTTTCCCAGTAAGTAATTCAAGGCTACTATTATGATGTATAACAGTTCTAAGTTTATTTGAGGATGTGTGCATTTATTTCTTTTGCAAAAGAACAAGGGGAAAATAAAAATATTTGGAGGGTGTGTTTAAAAGGTATATATGTAATATACCCGTATATTCTGGCTTTTTTTAAAAAATAAGGGATACGGTATTTGCAACTGTGTTTAGCGTTTTTTATTACTAAGGTTGTTTGGGGAGTGGGAGGTGGGAGAAGAAAGCAAAGGAGAACTGACATTTCAGAAACTTCCCTGGTCTACCACTGTATTGAGTGTGATGCTGCACTTTGCAACACCTTCTGTTGATCAGTAATACTCCTGTGACTGAAGTGTTTTGTTGTCTCTTAACTGAATTAACAAACTTCTAAATTTTAAAAGGTAAGGATATCTTTTTGTTTTTTGAGACAGTCTTCACTATTGCCCTCACAGCAACCTCACACTTTTGGGCTTAAGTGATTCTCTTGCCTCAGCCTCCCAAGTAGCTGAGACTACAGGTGCCCATGATAACACCCAGGGATTTTTTGTTTGTTTGGGTTTTTTTGTAGTTGCCATTGTTGTTTAGCAGGCCTGGTTCAGACCTTTCAGCCCCCGTATATGTGGCCAGCGCCCTAACCACTAAGCTGTGGGTGCTGAGCCAAGGCTATCTTAAATGATTCTGAATCATTTATCCTGTAAGAGATGTTTTTTATCACTAACAGTAACAGCACAATAGCTAACATCATGTAGCCTTCTCTGTTAGTGACCTTTTCATTCAGTCCTAACAATTTTTTTTTTGAGACATAGCCTCAAGCTGTCACCCTCAATAGAGCACTGTAGCATCATAGCTCACAGCAACCTCAACTCTTTTTTTTTTTTTTTTT